ATGTGCATTCGTTCAGCCTATGCTAGCAATGCGTTGTGGCCTCCGGACGATTATGGGTCCGCTGTCAGGTTCAGCCCGTCTGAATGCAATAAACTAAGTCAGCAAATTAGAAGATTACCACAATAGTGACATTTAACACGGTATGTGCGCTAGCGAGGTGTTGTTCCCTCATTATCCGGGAAACAAAAATGTTTGCCACCCCCAATCACGACAGGCCTGCCATACGTGTTTGATTCTTCTAAATTTTGGTTTCCCTTTTTACATTTATGATAACTCAGCATTTCAGAACTGGATAATTGTGTTACAATTTTTCGATTTAGCGACTGAATGTCTTGTATCTGTTCGTACGGTGTCCTTTTTCTTATTTTCACAATCGCAGCACGTTAATGAATTCTTCCCTATAAACCTCCTGCTCTTAAAGCATAGTCGAACACCCATGGACTGCACCTAAATAGGAAGAATAATTGCCGCCCAAAGTGTCAGCGAGAACCCAAAACAAAGAAAAAGTCATTCTTTATTCAGGTTGCCCAAGCTTTATTTCATATTCATTTTTATAATTCCTAATTCCTTAGACCTATTTTGCAAATTCCAGGCTCTTTAATACATCTTAACTTGCATATCTGTAATGCACAAACTTATATTTACTACGCCTGTGTGAAATATTTCCATAGCAAAAAATGTTCTAGCAATATCATTTTACTGAGAGAAACGTGTGCTGTTCATACACGTCAACAGATAACCGTAATCCTGCCGTATGCTCTTATCTGTTTTTACTGCATGAAAATATAAGTTCTACTTTTATTTGAATTTCCGGGTCTTAATTTGACAAATTAATCGTTGACGTGCGCACATGTGCTTTGACGCTTTACATTAAAAAACAGTGTGAAGAAATGTATTGACTGTATTCGTCATTCTTTGATTTTGAGAACTTATTTTTTCTCCGACCCGATTGTATAAATATCAGCGGCCCCGATAAGCTTTTAACCCACCACAACAACCTTTTTTAAACTCCTGGGCTTAGTTTCCAGTAAAACCGAGCGATTCGCATTCGCCCGAGGAATCAAAACCCCACAAGACAGCTTACTTTGTGGACGCATCGAAATCTATGTTCTGGAGACAGGGTGGCTTGTTAAGCGTCGTTGCAGATTAAATGCCTTATGAATTCTTATTTTCCACGACCGCTCGCATTTCAGCCAACCTAAACGTAAATCCTGCAGCAAAGGGTTTACCAGATATCCGTTTCTACCATCTTCACTGGTCTCCCTATTTGACCACTCTGACGTCGCCGACTTAGATGTGTTCGGGAAATATGACATCTTTTATCATTTCGTTTACAAGTCAACCCACCACATGACCGAGCCATCAGAGTCGATAGTCCTGTCTTAGTTAATGATCTTTTATTGGGGATGCAATCTAAAGGATTATTGGAGAGCAGGCACAGTTAGTCAAGTATTTATAAATAGGCTCATTGACCAGAGTCTGAGGTG